TACTCCCATACATTACCTATACGGGTATGTGCCGCCCAAAGGGGTCGTGATTTTGAAGCTCCTGATTTAGAAAGGGGTATCCATTTCAGAGGCGTTTTTTAGAACGGGGTATAATATTTCGAACGCACGAAAGCTCCACTTTTGTAGGCAGACATTTGAAATTATTCAAGGACAGATTGTTTTTAAAAATACGGTTCAATGCGTCACAAGCAAACCGTTGAACTCTTGTTGCACCTTAGAACGGAGTATAAAAAAATTGGCCCATTTCTAGAACGGGGTATCAGTTTTAGGGCGAATTCTAGAACGGGGTATAAAAAACTGGCCCATTTCTAGAACGGGGTATCAATTTTAGGGGAAATTTTTTCCACAACGGGGTGCCAATTGGGAGTCCCGGGCGGCACATACCCACCCAAAAAATACCCAAGTGCCCCCCCCGGGACACAAATATGGCCGCCATGGTGTCATGTGAAAACACACAATAGGCAGTCCATACTGAGATGAAAAAAATTCTGATCAATTAAGGAAATGCAACGGATCCGGATTCTAGGCCGCCGAGATATCTTAGTGACATTTAAAAAAATGATCCATATCTCATCATCTGTTAAAAATTCATGTCATAAATTCTCTGAAAACGTTCTTTTTATAGAGAAAGCGGCTCAACCTGCCTTGTCTCCAGAGTGACGCCAGACTACAAATGGATATCAAAGCCGCCAAAACCATCTTTATTGCTGTACTTACATTCCTTGTATGTTACATTCCGCCCGATTACTTTATTGCCTGGACTAGTGTCAACTCCGGCTCCAATGACAGTGCTTGGCTTAGACACATTGTCTACATTTCCGTGCTCACGTCGAGCGGGATGAATCCTGTCATCTATTGTTTCCGAGTCAGGTTTCGCCGCGCACTGAAACAGCTTCTAAATAATCCCTGTGGAAAGACTCCTTTCCAGGATTCCGACCAAAAGCTACGATTCAAACACAATGTTCCAAATCAGAATGCAAGGAAAATGGGTCTCACAGAACGAAGGTTTGGAAATAAGGAAAAAGGTGGACATAAAGATCATGACGAATGTGGATTAGACGCACCTAATCATGTCATGTCATTGGAGGACCATAAATTTGAGAACACCCCACGGGCGGCATGCCACAAACCCGGCAGAGATACGCTCCGGAGTTGAGAGTCCAAAACCCAGTGGAGGTACACCCAGTACCTTACAACAAACCACGGACGCCAACATCAAGTGATCATTAGAGTGGTTTTCGTTTGAGTGTCGTAAAACCAAAACCAAAGTAATTACTCTGGCCAATCACATAGGACACAGACAATACATTGAACCAATCAAAACTCGAAGTCATTACATGTGGCTGACGCAAAGCGCGGGAAAATCGTGCGAGCGCGTCATAATTGGCTTTGGTTTTACTTCTGATTGGATGAAAAGGTGGCGCGAATCTTTTAAGCCAATCGCATCGTGTACAAAGTGCAAAACCAATTACTTTTCGACACTCAAATGAAAACCGCTCTAGACCACAAAAGAACACTTTATCTGTATTCACTTGGATCCAAAGGACCAACCATCAAAACGGAAAACCCCTGAAACAGCACAGAAATTCACCGCAGAGGAGGGCACTAGTCTCCATAAGGAAAAACCAACAAACCACACAATTTCACAACATCTTCCGACCAACGCAGACTGTACAGGTCAACTCATTGAAGAGTTAAACGTTCATCTAAAAGGTCAAAAAGAAGCGATCAGACCAGAAAATGATAGAAAGTCCAAAAGTCAATTCTGATTATACTGTGTAAGCCTTAAGTGCATACTGTTGCGGTATAAAGATAATCACTTGCTTTTTCACTGATTTTTACATGCGCGATGAAACAACCGTGAGTATAACAAAGAAAAGTTAATAATATTGTTATTCATTTCATGCGAGAACAAGCGAAAAGAAACATTTGCGCATGTCTTAGAACTGCTTTCTGTCTGTCTCAGAGGATTCAAAATTGACATTTTATGCCACTGTGCTTGCGCATGTCAAGAGACGCTTTTCCCACATGAGAAAACACAGATTGCTGTACTGGGCCGAGTTGTTCAAAGCTGGGTTAAGATAACCCAGGGTTAGTGCGAGATTTGAATTCAGATTTGAAAGCTTAAAAAGCATTTCAGTTTTAATTCTTTTTGTCTACAAGTTGATGATTGAAAGCTCTAAATATAACAGAGAAAATTATCCGAGAAAATGCTTTTGAACACAAGAAAAAGAAACCCGGGTTAAATTTAACCCCGGGTTAAGCGCTAATCGGCCTTCGAACAACTGGGCCCTGGTGCTTAAAAGATACGAATGTGTCGGTCAACTCTGGAACCGCCACCATATATTTGTCCTGAAGAGTTGCCCGCCTGACCATTACCATAATCATCTTGTCGAACGAGCTTGTCCAATTAAGGATTTATTATCCGGGCCAGAAAGCTCTTCAGGCGAGAAAAGCGGACGATACCGAAGGGACAAGACTGGCATAACTTAGTCGCTCGGGGAGCCAATCGAAGCACAGGATTCGCTTCACCTTGCCCGCTCGCGGAACAAGCGATATAATATAAAAAGAACTATCCTACCAGCTAATATATTTAACAATTATTCCACGACTGCGCGTTGGATTTGAGATGGTAGATCATCTCATATCTGACAAGCGCCAGTGGAATAATTGTTTTATTAAAAACGCCCACAAAATATCGAGAATTCTTCCCGACTTTATTTGTAAAAACAGCCGATATTCAGTTTGTTTCTAAGTTCGAGATGACGCGTACAGTTACCATATTTGGAGAGTATGGTATAATGGCTCATATACCATGATGAGTAAGCCAATCAGAGCTCTAGAACTGCAATATCCAATGATTCAGTTTTTAATAAAAGTGATTATAATCCACCAAGAAAATAAACCTGCTAAATTGCTTTAAAAACGTAGCTGAAAACGGTTAGAAGAACAGATTCCTTATTTGGTTTTAAATTCGTCATTTTATGAGTATTACTAAGGCCTTCAAAAGATGATTAAAAAAAACGTTCAAAAAATAAAAAGAATAAATGAATGTACAGAAAACAATTAATGAAAAATGTAGAGTATTTTCCATGAACGAAAACCTACTTTATTTTATCTACTCTTGTTTTAACTTCACCGCCATTAACTGTAACACTTTTTAACTGAGAAACGTTTAAATTTGCAGCGTTTTAAAATTTGGACAAGGAAAAAACCACTAAATGAAACACTATATTGCAACGAAAATAAAAGACAATGAAATAAACAATAGCGTCTGGTTGATACAACTAACTGACTTCGTTTTGTGCTTCTTATAAAAGGCTAATTTATCTTCAAAGCATCAAAGATTTACCTTCGAAAATTCTACCTGTTTTTTCATAAGGCTGATTTACATGCACCACAGAAGTGCGAACGCAAGCTCTACATGTATTTTTGGCGGTGACGAATAACACAGATTTCTTCTTCTTAATTATTAGATATAAATCCATCTTGCAGTGCCATGGGAAGAAAATTCTGATTAACATCGGCCAGGAAACAAACCACAATAAACGTTTTACGAACTTTTATTCTTTTAAAGCTACGCGCAGAAATTTTTAGCGAGCGTTTGATTGCGACGAGAAAAAAGAAAAAGGTTGTTTGACTCAAATCTACGTTCATTGATTTTTTCAATTATCATTTGGTCAGGCTAATAATCTTTAAGGGATATATCTACGAACTACGATTGAGACGAACGTTTTCTCAAAAAAAAATACTAAAGTATGTAGCAGTTTTTAATCGCTATTTTTAACACTCCAAAGCTTTAAAGCTCGTTAAATATATAAACGTTTTGATTGGGACGATTTCCGTATGAACAACTGAAGTGGTATAAGTCTTCCATTCTAACCGAAGGGAAAACGTCAGCTGTACATAGGACTACATCAGCATCATTGCTGCTCTTTGATACATATCGCAACACTGGGCCATGAACCGACAGAGACAAATGCCCAAAGAAAATCATGGAAGTCGAAGATTTCTCCTCCATCACAATCTTCACGCTTGTATTACTGTCAATACTGACTATCTTTGCTGTACTTGGTAATGGCTTCGTTCTTGGTATCCTTGCTCGGTTTAAGAAGCCTCGCACCTTTGCAAACATTCTTATTGCCAATCTGGCGTTGGTCGATTTTTCCAACGCACTGATCAACGGACCTATATACCTACTTTGGAGTGTCTTGAAAGTCAAATGGTTTACAGGAAAGACTTTGTCAATTTTTGCGTCCCGCTTTTTCTTTCTCCTTAACGTCGTCTCCATGTTGGTGCTGCTGGGAAATGCTTTTCTAGCGATAGCACTGAACCTGAAATATTTCACCTGGAAGACCAACGAAAAAGCTTTGGCCATAGTGCTGGGTGTGTGGATGGTCTGTGTTACCAGCGCGGTTATATCCTTATATCCTCATTTTGACACCGACCTTCAAGATGCTTCTGTGTCCACATATCGTCGTGCTTTTAGGAATCAAAGTACTGTGCTTTTCACCGTAATCGGCGCGTCGTTCATTGTCACTGCAATAGTACTTGGCGTCATGGCTTACTGCGCTATTCAATTGAGGAAACGGCAGGTAAAAAGACAGAGGGTAAATTATATGACCTTCTATATTCGACAACTTTTCGTAAAATCTTCATAGTTTGCTTTACAGACGTTAGCACGTTAAATATTTCTCCGCATGTAAGAAGAAAAAACGAAACTCTTCTGACATGTAAATTTTTTTATTGTCTAGATGAAATAGAAAGAATAAGCAAAGAAATGCATTTAAGAATGGAAAAAAAGGGGGTCGAAATGCCACTTCAGAGAGTGAACTACAGTCAAAGTTAAGAAATGGCTGTCGGGCTGTACCCTGCGTAGCTGGCGGTTTTGTGTTGAGAGCGCGCAAATGAGAAGCGAAGCTGCGAAAGCGCGGGCGAACGAGCGCGGTCTCATTCTCCTTGCGGCATCACCGCACGCCATTGTCCCCCTCCTAACATAACTGCCAGTTAAGCTAGCTAGCCGGACTCATGTACATTTCTCCCTTATTGCGCGTGGCCTGACACTGGGGCATAAATACGCAGCCCGTACTGAGATGCTATTGAAAAATTCTGAGCAATTGAGATAATGTAACGGTTCGGGATTCCAGGCCGCCGGGATAACGTGAAACTAAAAACAATGTTTCATATCTCTTCAACCTCTAGAGGCCACCCAGTAGCATTCAATTCATAAGTTATCTAAAACCTTTTCCACTTACAGAGAAAGCGGCTAAACCTGCCTCGACTCCAGAGTGACGCCAGACAGCAAATGGATATCAAAGCTGCCAAAACCATCTTCATTGCTGTCCTCGCATTCCTTGTATGTTACATTCCGCCCGTTTGCGTTGTTGCCTGGACTCGTGTCAAGTCTGGCTCCAATGACAGTGCTTGGCTTAGACACATTGTCTACATTTCCACGCTCACGTCGAGCGGGATGAATCCTGTAATCTATTGTTTCCGAGTCAGAAGGTTTCGCCGCGCACTCAAACAGCTTCTAAATGATCCCTGTGGAAAGACTCCTTTCCAAGATTCCGACCAAAAGCTACGATTCAAACACAATGTTCCACAACAGAATGCAAGAAAAATGGGTCTCTCAGCACGAAGGTTTGGAAAGCAGGGAAAAGGTGGAAGTGAAGATGAGGTATGTGGATTAGACGGCGTACCTTACCTGGTCAGGGCTTTGTCACCGCAAAAGCACCAATCTGAGAACATCCCACAGTTAACATGGGCGGAGAACCACCCAAGAAACTGCGCAGGGACATGCTGCAGGGTTGAGAGTCCAGCACCCACAGCAGACTACACATGTCATGTAGTCACAGTGGAGGTACACCCAGTACCTAACAACAAACCACTAAAGCAGAAAGTAGCGAAAAAGCCAACATTATGTGATGTTTACACCGGAAAGGAACACTTTGTCCGTATTCATTCAAATTCAAAGGACCAACCTTCAAAACGAAAAGTCCGCCCTGAGAATCATGACATGTACACTAGCATTCAAACAGCGCAAGAATTCACCGCAGAGGAGGGCATTATTCTCCACAAGGAAAAACCAACAAACCACACAATTTCACAACATCTTCCGACCAGCGCAGACTGTATAGATCAACTCACTGAAGAGATAAACGTGGAACCGAAGGAGAGGCCATCAGACCAGACAATGTTAGAAAGTCCAACAGTCAATGCTAATTCTAATGTGTAAGCCTTTAGGGTATCCTGTTGCGATATAAGGATGATTGCTTGTGATTGAGTATATTTATGCTTTCCTTTCTCAATAATTATACATTTACGATGGAACGACCGTGAGTATAAGAGGAAAAGTCAGAATATGACAAACTTGATTCTTATGATTGTTTTCTCTTACATACTGTTGTTATGTCACATGAACATGATAACTGACATTTGACATTTTATGTCTTTGCGTCACCATGTATTTCTCCATCTAACGGAGTTGCCCGTCTTGTACAAAGTCAAATGCATGATAGGAAATAACAAAAAAAAGGCAAGTACCAGCTCTACGTTTTCGTTTAAGAAAGGTATCCGGTTTGCAGGAAAGTCCGTTGAGTTGACTTCACTGCATCAGTGTAAGCTGTCAGGTCAAGAAAATCTATTTTCAGTTTCGATTTCCACGGAGCTGAAATTGAACAAGTTTATAATGTTCATGATGAAGCCTAAATCAAGTCCCATTTAAACGAGCGGCATTTAAACGGTCGTAAACGAATATTTTCGTTAGCAGTCTCCGGAGTGGATAAGTAATTAAGAACCTTAAGCAAATAAGACCATCACCTTTTTAACGTGCTTTGATGCTGACAAGCTTCTATTGCTATAAACGTTTCTACTCTTATAGCGACGATATGCCCGAAAATTTGGGCAAGAATGCAGAAATTCCAATTCAGGTTGCTGTCTGTCGCTCAAAA